TGGTTTACCGCTATATCAAAGTTCATATAACTTTTCCTGAATTCATCAATATGACTTACAAACTTTTCATTAAGTTCCAATGAAAAACAGCTGTTAACAACTTTATTCAACTTTATGAAACAATCAACAAACTTAGCGCAATTTAAACACTTGAAATTGGCCAAAATGTCGACATTTTAAGCAATGTTTAGCAAGCATTTCCTACAAATGTTGGGCTTCCATAAGTACACTGGCGCTGAACGTTGCATTTATTTGCCCATTGTAGACTTACTTCTTCATTCACTTTTTCCATTTGTTCGAATAACATGTATTCAATTTTTATTTTAAAAAAGTGTATCTTGAGAAAAATTTTTAAAGTTAAACTACCAATATACTAATAACAAACTATCAGCTGTGAATTAATGAGATTCCCAGAGATACTTGAATAGTTTAAAATTACAATTTAAATTGACTTGAGTATTAACACAGTTATTAGGGTTCCTTTTAATTTCTCTTAGAACTTCTAAGTCTTCCAATAAATTAATTTTATGAAAATCAAAATTATTATGAATATTCCGAAAAATTTTGCTATTGTTTAAAGGTGAAAATGAATGGTTAGTAAAATTAATATGATGCCCAAGAGCTGACTTTTCAGGTATTTTTAAATGTTCATTAATACGAATATTTAATGATCTAATGGTTCTATCAACATAGGTGACGGGACAATCATTACAAGATAACAAATATATACCGCTATTTGACAATTTATCCTGTGAATCTTTAACTTTAGAAAATTTTGAACGAATTGACTTATTTACTTTAAAGGAAATTTTGAGATTAGGGATACTTTTAGTTAAAATTTTTGAAATATTATCCGAAATACTACCTAAATAAGATAAAGATCTAAAATTGTAATTATTATCAATGTTAACATTTTGTGAACGAAAAGCTAAATTTCTATTTTTCTGAAACAAAATTCTATTAATAGTTCTCTGTACAATATCAGGAGAAAAATCATTATTAATACATAATTGTTGCAATATCTGCACTTCCTTATTGAAATTTAAATTTGACATTGGTATATTTAACAATCTATGAACGTAGCAGCGNATGGTTAGGCTCTCTTCGGAATTGATTTTCAAGACGATTAAAATAATTTCTCGCTGGACATTGTCTATCAGGATATCGGTCGGCATAAAGGTTTCTAGCCGCAACGGCATTTTTTCTACATTCCCCATAAATAATTAACATGTCCACTTTTTCATCCCTTGTATAAATGTGCGGCATTTTGAACAAAAATAACAACAAATGTAAAGACTTTTCCAATACACAATAAAAACACCGATAAACCAACAAAATTTATTTGACAGTCTGAAGGAATAATTTCATTGTTTTCAAAGCCACCTTAGTTTCTTAGCATTAAATTAGAACAAAATAATTGTATTTTCTTATTTTCTTTTAGCTGTAATTTTGATTGTATTTATCGCACATTTTATTACCAGGTATGAATTAATTCCTTATTAATAGTACTAATAAATGGTACCACGGTACCAATATGGTTCCATTTGAAAAAATTGAGTTTTACCCCAAAATCGATTACGATGAACTTTATTTGCTCATAAAAAACGCAATTTAGTATTTTTGACGGGATTTCGATTTTTCCAGCATTAGACGGGTCAATTGGAATAAATCGGAACCATCATGGCACACTTAAATGGAAAACTAAAAATTAAATTATAAAAAATTTTGACGTTTGAAATGTCACTTATGTGGTATCATTGGATTCAGAAAATTATGCAGATTTCAGAAATGTAATAATATACAGGGTATTCCATTTGAAAATCGAAAGTTGGTATCACTTCCGGCGAAACCGGAAGTGGAAAAAAAATCATTTGTAGATCAAAAAGTGCCGCTTATTATGTATTTGGAATATCCCAAATTTCAATCAATTACGTTTAAAACTAACGGAGATACGGGGGGTGTACCATGATCCTGTTACACCTGGTATATGGAAAATTCTAAAGAGCAATTATGTTTGAAAATTTTTAAATCTAAGAAATTTAATTCATTATAATGTTCAATTTCTAATGTAAAACTAATAGAGGAATGAAGTTTATTAAGATCAGTAAGAATATTATCAATGACTGTAGGAGGATCTGTCACAAATTCAAGAATATCATCTACATATCTAGACCAATGAAAAATATTATTAAAGCTCAAATTACCATTATTACTAAAAATCTGCTTTTCTAAATTGTCTAAAAATAAATCAGCTAGCAAAGGTGACAAAGGATGTCCCATTGCTAAACCGTTTGATTGTCTATAAATTTTATTATTAAATTTAAAAATATCTTGTGACAAATACAGTTTTAACAAGGCCGTTTCCTAAATATTTTTTTGGTATCTAAAATTTAACGTAAGTAAAAAATTTTTTGCTTTATATAATGTCATTTCAACCTCTTGTTGATATTTTAGGAATAGTTCCGATGATGGCTATGTAGTCGAAAACGCTTAGCTAATATTTTAATAAAAATTTTATACACACTTTAACATACAAATTTCTTTGGCTTTTCTTTAAATCACCGAAGTGTGTACTGAAGATACAGTCGTTATTATTTAATAAAACTTCTTGTATTTTATATTAAAATGACAGACATTTTAAAATGATGTCAGTCCCAAAATCTCGGGATCAGGTAAACTTAATCCCGAAAATTTCGGGACTGAAAAGAGGTGAGGATCAAATCTTCTAGTCATGGTTAAATCGTGAGAACCATTCGTAACATTGCGTAATCCCAAAGCATCATTTCCATAAGCTTGTTTCAAAAGTTGAAACGTTTGCGTGAAAGTTTTCCCCAGTTTTATATAAAATTTTACGTTCTATCGTTGTCCCTTTCCTTTTCGAGTTTTCCTAATTGATTTTTAATTTTATTTTGTTATAATAGTACAGTTTTTCGACAGTTAAATGTTATCCAGTTTTGCTTAGTTTTATTAGCACTAAATAAAAAAATATTTAAAAATATTCACAGTATTCATTCCACAAATAGCACACTAATTTGCCTTTTTATAAATTCAAATGAACCAAAAACGAGTTACAGAAAGCCATCTATAATTAAATAACCTAATTTATATCAAACATAAATATTTATGTTCAAAACTGATAGATAAAGAGGTGTTATTTATATATTTCAGAAAAATTCTTGGGCTTTAAATCCGGCACAGATACCACAAAGTCATCGTGACACATCATTTTCTGCCGATCGGATCACTCAGAAATGCTAATAACCTTGTAAAATAAATAATGCTCCTCACCTGAAACTAACCGTTAATTTCGTTGTACAAATATGTTTACGCTTCATTAAGTAACATGAGAATTTATCAAAATTTCAGTTCCAAGGTAAACCGGCGGAAAATTTTTCAATCCAGAAGTTTCGATCTGCAAGTCACCGAGCGTAAATAAATTATGCGAAGTTATGAAATAAGTGCAATTTGTGTATGTTTGGTCGGTAATTATGGTTATTGCTTTCTTTGTAGTAGCGCAAAATGTTCTTGATAATTGCTTTGTAACAAATTAGAGTGGATATACCCAGTGAGCAAAAATAGTCGTCAGATTTGGGTGCTGGTAACTGTAATTTATTAATAATGAGTTCTTTGTCAATTTTAGGAAAAAATATTGTACTTCACTATAGCTTTCAGTTTCTACACTGAAAGAAATGCTCTTTATTTATTAGAATTCTAAATGGTATTATAAGATCATTGTAGGTTATGTAGGTATACTATACAGGGTGTCCCGAAATTCATGCAACAAAATTTGGTCATAGATTCTTAAGACAAATTTAGTGGACCCGTATTTTTTCTTTTTACCAACTGGCCCCCTCTTGGGGATATTGGATATAAAACGCGTATTTTATTGTATCTTATTTAGACGTAGCTTAGTTTTGTAAGTTCCACATATTTCAATTTCTGTTAAGGAAAAGTTTTATTAAAGTAGTATTAAAACATATTGTTACATTAAACTATCCTAAGATAATTTTTTCAGTCTGGCGCAATTAATTTTTTTACCAGAAATATTTTAGGCCGCAACATTTTTAAGGTTAGGATTTTGGGGTCCTTAATACTAAAAAAATAGTTTTGATCAACTTTCAGGTCGATAATAGCCTAATAAGCCCTTTAGTACTTCAAAATTTTAATGATTTTTTTTTCGTAGGTGTTGTTGCGGTAAATTTGAAAACAAAATATGTTCATTTAAAGAGATACCTACCTAGAATTGCTCTCTAAATTTTTTACTCGTAGTTTCCAGGTACCCTGTATATACGTTTATAAACGTGGTATACGTTTTTGAAAGTCATTATTTGAAACTTGGCATTGTGTTAAATGCATTTAGAAAATGTCAGTAATGCTGCTTAGTAGATTTAAATAATTATCACTTTTTTACATATACTTAAAATCCATACTTCTAACAATTATAACCTAGACATTAAAATATGTAATGAATTATCAAAATATTAAATGTTAAACTACTCTAACTAGTGTTGTAACGAATACAAAAGTTAATAGCATAAATAATAATCAACTTAATAAACATTCCTAACAATTTCAAAATACATATTTTCTATCCTTGACAATGAACTGCAAACGAAGCCAATGTTTACAAACAGTAATAGTTAACGTTTTGTATTCCCAACATAACAAATTTTTTGCTGTAGATAATAATCACAATAATAGTAATGAGACACTATACAGTGTTCATAACAAATTGAAGGGTTGAATGAAAAATACAATTTTGATCAACTTTAAGCTAAAATTAGACAATTACAATTCGTAAGATGTGTTTGACTGCAACATCAATATTTTTTATCGCCATCAAATTTTAAATAAAATTTAATAATGATTTCATCAACATTTCAAGCTGTGACGAAACAAAAATAACTTTTGTGTTCTTTCGTACCAACCCCTAGATGATTTGTCAGCATTGGGATCAGATTTTCGCCTTTACAATTTTAACGACAATTTCTTTATTACAGAGAACTTCTTTCACATGAAAACGTGACATTCAACGACAACGGCACGCTGACTGCTAACCCCAAACACCCCCTCGTTTGGGTGCCAGAGCTGTCAGGAGGTAGAAGAGAAGATGACCTGCTGATTTTGCCCAACATTGCTTTATTGGTAAGTGAGAATAGTTGTCTTTAAATAAGTACATTTACCGAATAGTTTTTTGAAACAACAATAACAGGTGATTTTTTTAACCTGAAACTTTCAAAAATCCCAAAAAATAAACACGCTACGAAAAAATTTTCATAATCAATATGATAGATGTAGTCGACGAAATTCAATTTTTTTCGATTTCTGCAACTGAGAACTGTGCATACGATTCTAGAAAATGTTTGCAATGAAAAATACCACGTCTTATGTACAGGGTGTCTCATACTCGATAGTATGAGCCTACTGTGCGGATACAAAAAATTTAAATAAAATTTGGACACAATTTCCGTTTAAAAGTTATAAACAATATCGTTCTAAAGAGTCTCAAAAGAAATACCACCTAAAAATCTTTTTCTGAATGAGAAAACATTTTGTAAGCATAAAAGTTATACTTTTGACGTTCGTATTGAAAAATAACAAGTATTTTGTGACATTTATGCACTTTAAACAACGAACTTCAATTATTTTCCAGCGACTACTTGATCCTTTCACCGCTAATGTGATTGTTAGGTGGTATTTCTTTTGAGACTCTTTAGGACGATATTACTTATAACTTTTAAATGGGAAGTATTACAGAAAAATTTCTCTAATAAAAGTTTATAAGAAAAAAAAAGAGCCTTTTAACAGGAAAAGATTTGGGTATGTTTCTGGAAAAAATATAATTATAATATCGCTAGTCGTTTCTGTCAAATCTCAAAGATAATACTTTCGATTTCAAATGGAGCTTACCTCATCCCATTTAACACCACGTGTCCCAAATTGTATTTAAATTTTTTGTATCCTCATAGTAGGCCCATACTATCGAGTTTGAGACAGTACATACTCGAAATTCGTGGTCAAAAAATAGTATATATTTTGAAAATTTCGGATAACTGGGAATTTGTTACCTGTAGAAATGTAAATGGCTGCTGAATAAACTACTATTAGTGTAACCCAGGAACTACGACGTGGACATTGTAGTTTCCTTCGAGGTGCTTGATTAAAATAAGTTATTTCTTAAAATTATGTCTTTTTTCGTACATGTTCACTCAATTTTACTTAATAATGTATCAATTTCTGCCCACACCCGATCACATTAATTCAATATAAATTTGTAATAAACGAAAAAGTGTACATAGAATCAATTCTATTTTAATTAAAGTCTTATAAAAATATAGTGTCTAAAGCATCCTTTAGGCACGAAATTTGAAATAGTAATTGCTTTATAGGTATATACGAAAAGTTTTAGAAGCTCTTTTTACAAGTTATGGAATTTCTTGGAAATTTGGTTGATTTGTCACGAAGTAAAATGCGGAAGGCATTGCATAACCTAATCAGACATATCTACAGACGAAAACGGCAATTTTACACATCTTTTACATTTTACACTTGAACAAGTACCTGTAAAGTACTTACTTTTATATTAAAAACAGTGAAAGTGAAAATATACGGTTCATCGAAAAAAGCAACATTGTAAAATTGCGCCGAACTGTTACATAAAGCAAAATGTTTTAAATTTAATTAAAACATCATTTTCGATTTTCAAAACAACCTCTTCCGCAATATTTATATAATCCATTTTTACGAACATGCCTAAAAAAGTGCTGAATTTAAGCTAAATGATCCAAGACCTAATATCTACATGCTGGAATGATCTAAGAGATCCTCAATACGTAATACATAAAAAACTGAAAATGAGTTTTTAATAACTATGTTAAAAAATATGTACCTATGTAACCACTTCTCTTTAAAATTCGATAGATAAATAATAGTCCAATTAACTAAGCCTTTAAATCGAAATTTTGTCAACTTGGCTGAATTTTTGATATGAGTTAGTTTAAGGTATATTATAACAATAAGTGAGAGTAATTTTTTGTTCAACCCCCGGCCAAGGGTGGAAAAAGATAAAACAAAGGGCTTTTTCAAGATAACTCAAAAAGGGTAAGAGCTAGAAAGTTGTAAAGCAGACAATTCTACATAAAAATGGTCTCTTAGCTTTTTCTTGTACTATTAAAATTAACAGAGTTAGGGAGGCTAGAAGTTAAGGGAAGATTTCAGAAATTTAATTTTGTTAAATCATTAAAATTAACGATTAAAAATTTGATTTTTTGTTATAACTTTCTTATTAAAAATTAAAAAATATATCTATTTCTCTGAAAAGAAAAGTTACATATTTTAGAGCAGATTGAAAAAAAAAATTACAAAATTCAATCATTTTTCTGTTTGTTATGATTTTTTTTAAATTTCTGAAATCTTCCCTTAACTTCTAGCCTCCCTAACTCTGTTAATTGTAATAGTACAAGAAAAAGTTAAGAGGCCATTTTTATGTAGAATTGTCTGCTTTACAACTTTCATGAAAAACTTTTTTTTCTAGCTTTTACCCTTTTTGAGTTATCTTGAAAAAGCCCTTTGTTTTATCTTTTTCCACCCTTGGCCGGGGGTTGAACAAAAAATTACTCTCACTTATTGTTATAATATACCTTAAACTAACTCATATCAAAAATTCAGCCAAGTTGGCAAAATTTCGATTTAAAGGCTTAGTTAATTGGACTATAATGACTAGGTAGGTATCTCAGTTCTAAGTACAATATCATTTTTACTTAAAAAAAAAAATTGGTGAAACACAATTCAAAATTGTTGGGTTAAAATAAACAACTTATTTAATTTTATTTTTTTCTCGGGAGAACTGGTTCTAGGTTTTTGCAACAATATTATACACATGGTAATTACCAGACTTATGTTGGTGATAATTTTAATTTAGGACAAAAATCAGTTTGTAATTATATTGCAGACAGGCACTGTTAACTTATTCTGACGTAATATAACTTTTGCGATGGTGCTACCTAAACCATCTAGGCATCTGTGATGCATTTCTTTGTTGGAGCATGTTGACAGGAGACAATTGATTTACCATCTCATTACAAAAGCTCATTTCTTTAAAATCTAAAATAAATTCACTAACCTTTTCCCCTGCAAAGTTTCATAACGTGTTGATCGTTCATTTGGTCCATCCACTAAGCACTTCGTTGTAAATTACCAATACAGCACTAACAGCAAGAAAAAACACTCACATTGCACATTGCACTCTCTTTTAGCGTCTTCAATTTTGCGAATGTCCTACACGACGCGTCACGCTGGTATAGAAGTGTACTTTAAATTTTAATTACTTTCGCCACTAACTAATAAAATAAAGCAAAACGTGATTTTTTGAAGTTATGAAATAACAGCTCAGAAAAGGACGCCACGGTTAACGACCGAGTTTACTATACACGCCCGTACGAAAAAACAGTCTACTAGAATTACTAGAAAACAAAACTGGTGATGTCAAAATTGCAATGCCTACCTCGACGCTTTTCTCCTAATTTGCGGAATACAGAACTCTACGCAGTGGCGCAACTGTCTTATTTCGAGTGGTAGGGTATTTTAAAATAAATTTAAGTGTAATTTGTCTATTTTTCTTTACTTGTAATGCATAACCTTAGGTGGAACACGTAATATATTAAAGCAGTGACATAAAATAATGGTTTTTAAAAACAAGCATCTTCATATGAGAAAAATTACTGCATTTTAAGGATAAAATATAATTAATTAGCGGTCGTCAAGTTTGTTGAAGCGACAGAGTGTTTGCAATGACCTTTTTTATTAATTTATTACCCAGCCCTTGGTTGTACAAGATCTGATGTAAAGATAAGGAGCGACTCTTGCATATTCTAACTAATTGATAATACTGTCACCTAATTCGCATATTACCCTTCAGGGAGACGTATTTATTGAAACATATTCTCGAGAACATAAAAATATTAATGCAAGGTTGTCGAGATGCAAAATCATGACCTACCTACTCACTTCATGGTGTAAACCTGGCGAAAATAATTTATTTTAAATTTTATTGGTAAATAAGCAGCAACATTTCACTTTCTTTACTGTAACCCTATAACCTTGAACTGTGACGAAAAATGCGCCAATGAGGAGTGAGATATGAATCTATTTGCATCTTCTGCTGGGGTTTAGCTTGAATCTGACACGAACGATGTTATGTAATAGGTGAAAGCGAGTTATTTTTCTCCCTAAGCGAACTTGAAAAGTTAAGAGAAATGTTATGTAAGAAATTTGACTGTTGCAAGCACAGCTCATCGCTGTTGTGTCAGATTACATCACATCTAATAAATGATTGTAGATTGAAATAAGTAACTGAGGATTAAATAATTTTAATTAACTTTTCCTTAAAATTGTGTACAATTTTAAAACATCTTCATTTTTTTACTATAAAAATACATTATATTTTCTTACATCTGAGATCTGAATACATACAGAGTGTGACCAAAATATGTGTAGGTATTTAAAATGTAACAATTTTTAATGAAAATACATATTCATGCAAAATGTCCAGTGTCCAAATTGGTTTTAGGTGTGAATTTTCAAATATTTTTACTAGATCGGTTTTCGACCGATACTCGACCGGTACTTTGGACATAAGTGCCAGAAGAATGTCTTCTTTGTCATGACCATAAATATCGCGATAATCTGTCAAGATTAGAAATATTTAAAAAGTTTCAAACCCCTAGTGACAAACTAAAAGAATTATATATTTAAATTTATAGAACAATATTGACTTTTATAGTAATTAATAAATTAAAATTATATCAATGTTACTGAGCATGCGCATTAAAAATAATTTCATGTCAGTGAAGTAGCCTCGCGAGAGGATATCGTTCAAGAAGGTTTGGTTGTGGTTAAGAGTACGTCTATAATAAACCACTTGAAGAAAAAAACACTCGATAATACTACAATAAAAATACTTTATCCACGACTATTGTATAATGTACCCATTATACGTCTGTTTGCTCGACCTTAATAATACCCATTAATCACGGCAGTGATTAATGAGTCATTAATCACTACTGTCAGATGCTTCCTTGATTTAGCTATAATATTATATTGTTCTGCTACAAACAGTAGGTTTTTTAAATTTTATCGTGTAAACC